GGTTTGGGAATATTTCTCCATTTCTCTGGGCACTGAGAGGCCTTTTTCACCGGGAAACTCATGGCTTAAAAATCTGGAAAGCCTTGAATTGGTGTTAGAAAGATTTCTGTTGCTGAAATTTCCATTACTCGGATGTTCGGCCCACTACACTGGTTCTTCACGTACCTTATTTTCTTCCCTGTCCTTCTTTCTGGGATATTTCTTCAACCTTCAACCCTTCCATCGAGTTTCTCACTTCTGATCTCATGTCTTTGACTCCCCAGGACTCGTCCTCGTTCTCTGAATGCCCCACGCCCCCATTCTTGTTTCCTGAGTGTAATGTACAATTGTATATATCTGAGGATATTGACGTTATTTTGATGTTATCCTCCTTGGATAACATTTCCTTCAAGTGGCTCCCCTGTCCTCATGTTCCTTTTGGTCTCCGTCACTCATGCTGGGAACTTGCCTGCAGTGCCTGGTCGTCACCGGGCACCTGCTCACGTCGAGGAGTCGGCGACAGTAGGCTGCGTTTGTCAGCTGGGAACTGCTCTGTAGGGCAATCCAGCGGTGCTGTTTGCTGGAGACCACCGCAACGACAGCTTTTAGATATCCTCCCTCTTGACCCAGCCCGATTCCTCTCACTGTGCTTCCATGCTCCCGCCAAGAGGCAGAGGCCTGGTTGCTGACGTCTGGGTGCTCAGTGCAGACGCAGGACAGGGGCCTGGACATTCTGATGTTGTGGTCACTTTATTCAAAATGCTACCTTGGCCTTCGGCGGGCTTTGCTCTCCCTCAGTCCAGACACCCTCTGTTTTGTCCTCTCCAGTGAGTAAACCTCTAGTCTTCTCTAGACTGGGGCAGGACAGCCACCTGGGGCATAGAGTTGGGGAAGGGATCTAAATAATTCTCAACCAGTCCAATTTGTTTTACTCCCAATCTCATAAGTATCAGTGCTACCAACTTCTGTGCCTTTTGTTACTGTGTTGATTCTTTGTTTTCTCCAATGTTAATTTAGGATTTAGCTTCCACAGCTCTGCCAAGTCTGTGGCCACTCATCCAGCTGCTTACTATTGCTCCAAGTTTGTTGTTATGATCTCTTCTCTACTTTTTCTGTCCTTGTGGTCCTTGTTTCTCTCAAGGCCTCTGGGCCTAGGCTGCAGACCATGTTCTCCTGTAGATGCCTTCCCTCTTTTCCCTGGCCATGCCCTCCAGTGTCAGAGGTCTGGGCCCCCCGCCCCCCCAGAACACACTTAACTCTTCTAAATAGGGCATTTCTCTCAAGCACAGCAGGACTGTCCATACAAGTGGTCAAGAGCCAGCACAGGGATTAAACAGGAAGAAGAGACAACTCCTGCCAGGGGATTGAGGGAGGCCATCTTGGAGGAGGTGGCATTTGAGCCAGGAGTTGAGCAGGTCATTCATGCTTCAGCTCAACTGAATTTAAATACACATGTTTTGTATCTGAGCAGGCATTAGGTGAGGTTAGGAAGTTACTGCAGCACAGGGGTGTAAATAAAGGGTTTCAGACAATGTCTGGATTTGAATCCTGAACCCTCAATTATTAACAGTAATTTGTTTAGATTCTATAATGTTCACCTTCCCAATTTGTCAAATGGAGTTAATAATAATACCTTTCTCAGGAGCATTGGAAGAATTAATTAAAAACATTTTTTTCCCTTCATTGATTTTAGAGAGAGGAGGGGGGGGAGAGAGAGAGAGAGAGAGAGAGAAACATTGATAAGAGAGAGCACTGACTGGCCGCCTCCTGCATGTCTCCCACTGGGGATCGGGCCCACAACCCGAACATGTGCCCTGCCTGGGAATCGAACTGGTGACCTCTTGGTACATGGGTCGATGCTCAACCACTGAGCCACACTGGCTGGGCGGAAGGATTAATTAAATGCTAGTGTATATATGAAGTAATTAAGGAGCCAAAGCATAGTATGTAGGTAGTGGCTTGGTACACAGACTGTACCAGAAAGCCTGGCTTTGAGGCTGGGCTCTGCTAATGAACTTGGGTAAGTTACTTAACAATCTGACCCTTAATTTACTCATCTGTACACTGGGGATAATGTATCATGGGAATTAAATAACATAATATGTATAAAGAACTTAACACAGTTTCTTGGACATAAGCTGCAGTAATACTTGTTAAGAGGAGGACATAACATTTGGAGCACAACCCCTGAACCAGACTGCTGGGTACAAATCCCATGTCTGCCACTCACAGCCATGTGTCCTTGGTTAACTTCTTTAACCTTTCTTTAAAAAAATGTTTTTTAAATTTATTGATGTGTGTGTGTGAGAGAGAGAGAGAGAGAGAGAGAGAGAGAGAAATCATCAATTTGTTGTTCCACTTATTTATGCATTCATTGGTTGATTCTTGTATGTGCCCTGCCTGGGGATTGGACCCCCAACCATAGTGTACAAGAATGATGCTCTAACCAAATGAGCAGCCCAGCCAGGGGAATTTCTTTGTTTTCTTAACTGTAAAATAGACACAATAATAACACCTATCGTGTAGAGATTTGTGAGGATAAAAAACGAGTTAACATATGTAAAATGGCACCTACAAGTGTTGGCTTATTGCTATTAGACCAGGTTCAGCTGTTTTTCATTCATTTGCCTTTCCCTAGCGCCTTCTACCCGTGGAAGAGTCTGTCTCCAGTGTGCCTCGCAGATCACAGAGCTCAGATATTCTGGAGACATGAACTGAACCCAGCCCCAGCTGGCTGCAACGTCTAAGCCCCTTAGCACAGGCCACTTCGTCCTCTTGTGGGAAAGCTGAGGAAGAGGAGTGACCTCTGCGACCCTCTCGGAGGAGGAGCTGCTGTTCTTCCTCACTTGTCTCAGGAGGAGGCCTTGGAGGCACCTGCTTCCACCAGAGGCTGCTGGACCCGCCCAAGGGCCCGGGAGGGAAGCAAGTCTCTTCTGAGACTGTCACCCGGCCGACCCTGGCCATGACAGGTATGTAGCTCAGAGCCCAAACTGAAGGCAGTGGGGACAGGAGGCTGCAGTTATCACTCAGTAGCTTGATAATTGGATATTTCTATAATGACAAATTGCAGCTGTTTCTCTTGTCATCAGTGTAAAACAGTTCTCAGTGGTGATTTCCCAGGAGGGGCCTGGTTGTTATCCAGTTAGAACTGTGTAGAAATGTGGAAATACTCCGTGTCGGGACGTGGAGCAAGGCTGAGCTGGGCTTCCGCACTGCTGGCTGCTGGGTATCCAGCCCTGGCGTTTATGCAGAGATCCGCCTCCTGTCATAATATTATCACTGTTAATTCTGCACAAGAATTGTGTTGAGATGGGCTTGGAGCCTTGCAATTTGTTATTTGGCTCCTACCTCTACTGTTTTTTAATTTGACCAAAGGACATAAACATCAATAGAAACTCCAGTCTTTCTTAGCTTGAAATAATCTTGAAGAATCATCTTGGAAATGTTCTAAGGCTGCTGGCCTGTTACCAGAGCCCTGAGGTTCATATTGAGGTAAGAAAACATCAAAATGTCTGCTTTGGCCTCCAGGAGGTCAAATCTTTGCTGTTCTCCCAAATCTAGTTCTCGTAGACAGAAATGCTGGAAGATAGGGCTTCCAGGGCCTCCAAGACAAGAAAGAAAAACTCCTGGGTAGAGAGAGTTATCATGTGTCATTCAGCCTTTCTGCGGTGAGCCTCCACTTCCTCATCTGTAAAATCGAGTCACCGTGAGGACTGAGGAATGGAGGCACGTACAGCACAGTCTTGGCGTGCGGTGCGGGCCACCTGTGTGTGGTAGATTTTTTTTTTTAATCCTCACCTGAGGACTATTTTCCATTTTTTGTTCAGATAGAGTGGGAGGGAGAGAGAGGAACAGAGAGAGAGAGAAAGGTTGACGTGAAAGGGACACATCAAGTGGCTGTCACCTGCATGACCAACTAGGGCCGGGGACAAACCGCAACCGAGGTACACCCTTAGTGGGAACCGAACTCGGGTCTCTCTGGACCGCAGGCCGAAGCTCTAATTGCTGAACCAAACCGGCCAGGGCTGTGTGTGTTAGCTTCGAACTAGGTGTTTCAACATTCTCAGGGTTCGGGCCTTTTTTGGCCCGAGAAATACTGTGGAATTGAAGAAGCAAACCTCTCCAAATGATCAAATTAGTCTCGCTGTCTTCTGTGTTTTCCCGGGAAGATCTTCATGCTCTATCTTGGCAGCCCCCCCCCCTTCCCCTGGCTAGCTGAGCTGCTTGCGGGAAGGACCTTCTGCGAGGCGCAGGCCCGCCCAGTCACTGAGCACCAGTGACCGCTGCTGGGTGTACAGAGGCGAAGGAAGCCAGACCTTTGTCCTCAGGAGCTCACATTCCGGCAGAGGAGATGGATCTGGAGACAGAACTGGGCCACTTTGAGGGGGATCTGGGACAGGGTGCCCGAGGAGAACCGAGAAGTGACCCTGAGGCTGCAGGGACCACTGGAGGGCACAGGGACTACATTGCATCCAGGAACGACCCTGACTAGGGACTAGTTCTCACAACGGAAGGAGTGGGAGTGAGGTGTACCACCTCCGTCCTGCCCAGGGATTTTAAGAAGCAGATGTGCCTCTGCCAGTTCCTCTTACCCTTCCATCAACTGGATGCAGCAGACTCTGAGACCCCAGGGGTATGGAGCCAAAAGATGCATCCCTAAATTAAAAAATTAAAAGGCCACATGGAGGCAAGCTGCTCATGACCAGGAACACCTACACTGGACTATCCTTGAATGGGAACTAAGTGTTGATAGGGTTAAGCCACTGGGATTTAGAAATGTATTAGTTATCTGAGATTACCCTAGTGGACGCAGATGTCTAATCCAACTTATAGCTCCAGGAAAGGACTCCAGGAGGAAAGAACGCCGGGGTCTCAAGGTGCCCGCTGGGGCGGTGGTGGTGTTGAGATGGGGGGTGGATAAGGGTGGCGGTGGGAGCTGGGAGAATATTTCAGGCAGGGAGAATAGAACAAATGAAGCATGTAGTGTGTGTGATGTGCGAAGCAGTGGCGCGTGTGTGTGTGTGTGTGTGTGTGTGTGACAACAAGAAGTTTAATGCTGCTGGAGTGGGACCAACGGCGGTAAATGAGGCTGTAGCAATTGATAGAGGACCATGAAGGATTTGGTTTTCTAAGGAGTTTCACTGACTCCTGTAGACAATGGGAGAAGCCCAGTGGAATGGCATTTTGCTAGAAGTGTGACAAATCGATTGGAGAAGGGAAGACTAGACCTGGGGAGACCAGGGAGCGGTTAGGAGGTGAGCTGGTGCACTAGACCAGAGGAGTGATGGTGGCGTGGGCCATGGTGCAAGGGGCAGAGAGACTTGGTGATTGATTGGGTTGCCAACCAATCAGGGTGGGAGAGAAGGAAGCGCTAGAGATGATGCCTGGGTTTGCAAAGCCATCAGTAATTTTTTCTCATTAACAAGAGGATCGTAAGGGGAATAGTGATTGTATTTTCTGTGATAGGTGAGCCCTCATTTTTCTTATTTTTAAAAGCGAACCCTTTACGGCACTTACTAGGTGCCACACACTTTTCTAAGCCCTTTACATATATTCCACCCACTCATCTTCATAATAACTCCTTGGAGGACTGTGATTGGCCCTGTTTCACAGATGAGGAAACTGAGGCACTAAAGGTTAAGAGGCTGGCCTAAGCATGCCCAGCTAGTTAGTGGCAGTCACGGTTTGGATCCAGGAAGTCTGGCTCCCTGTCCATGTCCTCAGCTACTGTGCTGTGTGTTCCTTATTGTGTGTGCAGTGTAGTGTCCCAGTCAGGGTCCCTCTCTGAACCCGGGCTCATGTAGAACTTCTTGGACACGGATGCCAGGCTGGACTGACTCTAGACAGGCAGTGATTTCAGTTTGAACACTGACATCGGATTCCCGGTTTACCCATCCAGTGAGCTGTTCTCTAGTTAGGCTACAGTCTCCACTCCAGACGTGTTCTTCCTCAGTTTCCTTTATCACCCTCCTCAGCCTCTTCCTATTGCTAGGACTCGGCATGGCCTGAGGCTAGATGCTCATGGGTTGTGACACCCTTGGGACCTTCCATAGCCCTAAACACCAGCACACCTGCCTGGAAGTGTAAGTATGGCCACAGAGCCAGTAGTTAGTCTTGAATTCAAACTCAGGTCTGTTTGGCTCCAAAGCCACACCCTTTCACCGTTGTCTGTGGCCACCCCCTGTTGTCTCCAGAGTTCTACACTCGTCCACAGGACTCCAGGATGAAGCACAGAGCAGCCCCTCACTCCTTCTTTGCCAGTGCAGAGTAAGGCCAGGAACCCCAGGCTGCACTGCAGCCCAGCACCGCCCTCGGGGACACCCCATTCTCCTGGCGTGAGGGAAGGGGAGCAGAGCCCGACTGGCCGTCCAGGTGAGCACCCCGCTGAGCTGCAGCTCAGAGACTTCGGCAAATCTGTTGCTCATTCCTCAGGAGCTCAGAACAATCCTAACGAGATGTGAAAATCAATGGCTGATGGAAAAACAAAGCAACCTTCTGAGCAAACTGTGAGTGAGGGGAGTGGCTTCTAAAAGACCTTGACCAGCTACTTGGTTGCAGCCTGTGAAATGGAGAATAAGCGACTTTCTTACACGGATTCATAATTTTCTTTTCCAAGCTGGAAAGAGGAGAGAGGTAATGGGCTAGGGTGAGAGACCTCGTACCGCCAAAATAATTATCGTTCGGGTAGAAGCCTCAGTGAACTTCTGCTTTTTAGAGGCACAGAGGGAAACGGGCTGCGTGGTTTCCATGTGGGAGTGGTCTGTAAAGGTCAATTAGCCGTAGTGGCGTAGGAGGGCGAACAAGCAACCGCAACCCAGGACACAGCCAGGGCCTCCTTCCTGTCTCTACTGCCCAGCCGGGGAAACAGGCTGGACTAGAGGGTCACACTGAGCCCTGCGGAGCGGCGGGGCAGGGCGGGGCTGGGCGCACGGCCTGTCTGTGTGAGGGCCACACTGCGAGCCTGGGTCTAGGCTGCCAAGTCCAGTACCGAGACACATGGCAGCCGCTCCTGAGATGGTGCCACAGACACCACCTGGCAGAAGAGGCTGGGACAGGATCACGGCCCTGAAGTTCTTACTAGGGCCCAGTTAGGTCACAGGTGCCGCCAGGGCTTGGAGCCTCGGGGCCTTGGAGCAAGGTTAGAGACCCCAAGAGCTTACAGTGAACACCTGCCAGGCCCTCGTGACCCGCGTGGCTGTCCCCCTCACCTCTCTGGCCTCATTTGGGTGGTTTTTCCTTTTCTGATACAGACATGCTGGCCTCCTCGTTGTTTCTTTTTTATTTATTTATTTATTTATTTATTTATTTATTTATTTATTTATTTATTTTTAATCCTCACCCGAGGACATTTTTCCATTTTTTTGTTCGGATAGAGCGGGAAGGGGAGAGAGAGAGAGAGAGAGAGAGAGAGAGAGAGAAACATCGACATAAAAGGGACACATCGAGTGGCTGCCACCCACACAACCCAATCAGGGCCGGGGACAAACTGCAACCGAGGTACATGCCCTTAGCGGGAACCGAACCCGGATCTCTCTGGATCATAGGCCGACACTCTAACCACTGAGCCAAACCAGCCAGGGCTCCTCGCTGTTTCTTTAACGTGGCACCACCTCTCGGGTTAGAGCTTTGCTGTGTTTACCCCTTTGTCCGACGTGCTCCTGGCTCAGATATTTCTGTGGCTTGAAATCTTCCCTCCCTCAAGTCTTTACCACTCAGAAGCACCTCCCCTGTGGCACCTCCGTAATTACCCCATTTCAAACGGAAACTAACCCCCATCTACATTTTCTTTTCTTTTACTTTCTAAAACATATTTTAAATAAAATATAGATTATAAAAATATATTCTTATAAAATATATAATAAAATATATCTTAAAAAAATGTTTTTTATCCTCACCCGAGGACATTTTTCCATTTTTTTGTTCAGATAGAGTAGGAGGGAGAGAGAGGAACAGAGAGAGAGAAAAACATCGACGTGAAAGGTACACATCGAGTGGCTGCCTCTCGCACGACCAACCAGGACCAGGGACAAACTGCAACCGAGGTACGTGCCCTCAGCGGGAACTGAACCCGGGTCTCTCTGGACCACAGGCCGATGCTCTAACCGCTGAGCCAAACTGACCATGGCAATAAGATATATCTTAATAAAACATGTTATAAAAATATAAATTTATAATATATATTATGACGTTTTTATTTGCTTTTAATTGTATATTTACGTTTATTGCCCGTCTTCCCTCTATCCTAATGAAAGCTCCCTCAGGGCAGGGATTGTTATCTGTTTTGTCCAGTGATGTATTTCCACCTACCAGGAGAGTATGTGGCACATATAAAGCACTTGAGAAGCGTTGGCTGGGAAAATGAATGAGATGGGCCGGCCGGATTCCTCACAGGTGAAAGACTGAGATCCAGGGTGGGGGTACAACTCGCCCAAGGCCAGTCAGCAAACGAGCCGCAGAGCTGGGACCAGACACCGTGCCTTTGAATCCCAGCCCACTGTTCTGTGTTCTCTCTGTGATTTGGTGGAGGGCAGAGATAATCTTCATGAATGTCTGGTAAGTGCCAAGCACATGTTATAGCTCAGCCTTCTCATACCATCTTTCCACATGTACCAGCCCGGTGACCTGCTGAGTTCCCTTCCTCTCCTCGCTTTCCACTGGCTAATTCCTCTTGGCCTTCAGGCCTCAACTTTCTTATTACTGTCTCTGGGACATTGGCCCTAATGTTCCAGACTAGACAGACCTTGCACCGCTTGCTGCTCCGAAAGTTCTCAGCTTGTCTCCAACTTACACTCAGGAAACCTACTGAGATCATCTGGCTCATTGCTGGTCTCTGCTTGGATGGGGGCCGCCCGGGGACAGACTGTGTCTGTCGGGCTCACTGCTATTCCCCAGGACCTACAATTGTAAAAGACATTAAAAAAATGTTTGACGAGTGAATAATGAAACGACTTTAATTGTCTGTACCATAGTTTCTTCATCGGTAAATAGCGACCGATCGTATCTACTTCGCAGGGTTGTGGAGAGGACTCTCTCTGGCAGGTAATAGGTGTTCAGTTATTAGCCTCTCATCAGGCCTGTGAGGTAGCTTGTCCTGTGTTCTGCTAGGTGATGTTGGTCAGGTGTGGCCACAAGAGAGGACCCAGGAGAGGCACAAGACAAAAAGTCTATTATACATGCAGGTCTTAGAGAGGGGATCACTGTGTGCCATGCCAGGTGGTGGTGGGGGTGGTGCCAGGTTTCAGTCAGGTGGTAGAAGACAGGAATAAGGGGAAAGTAGTAGGCCAGAGCCTTTATTGTGTTTTCTGTGGGAAACAAGGGGTAAAGTGGAGGAAACAAGTTCAAGATTGGCTAGTTTGAATCATCTTGAATGGCTCTAAGCCCTAGTTTTCTTATACTTGGCCCTGGGATGATTAGGGCAGAGGAATAGTCTCCTAGGTGCACAGGCCTCATAGAGGAGCTAAGTCTCTGGATTGGTTATTTTGCATAGCAAAGGTGTACTCCCAGCTGAGCCTTTAGTGATCTCTAAGAATTGACTTGATTCAGGGGTAGTCTCTCCCCAGGCAGAAAGTTTTTAAGGTGTCAAAAATCGTTATACAGAAAACAACAATAAAAATATACTACGTAAGATTGCTATCTTTATTTTATAGTAGGGACTCTGAGTCCTTTAAAAGTTGCGACTTGTCTAAGGCCATACACTTGGCAAGTGTTAGGACTTGAACTCAGGTCCATCTGATGCTAAAGCTTGAGCTCCTCCTACGCTGCATCACCACCTCCCCTAGGCAGGCAAGTGGCGTTTGTTGGCTGCTCTGGCTTTCACACTATGCACCGGCAATTTTCTGGCTACATCAAATGCCCGTCACTGGGAAACTTGAGAAGTTTTGCAGGCCTCAGCGTAAAGATGCAGTGAGCCCCGTCGCCTCCCTGAGCCTCACCCCATCCTGTAAGCAGCTGGTCCTTTCCTGTGTGAGCCTGGTCACCACCTAGATGAAAGCAACCACTGGGCCATGATTTCCCCCAGGGCCCTTGCCTGTCCTGGGAAGTCCTGGGAGAGCTCCTGCATAATCCCACAGGTGCTCAAGTCCCAGCCCCGGGGGCAGAGGTGGTCTGCGATGCTTATCTTCTTCAAACCCCATTTAGTGCAGGGGCATCAAGACGAGGTCAGCCTACGTTTCCCCCCGCATTCCATTAAAAGGGTGATTTAATTACTTTTGTTTTATTTCTTTTTTTTTTTTTATTGTGGCAAAGGCATTTGCCACTTTAATTGTTTTTAAGTGTACAATTCAGTGGCATTAACTATATTCACAATGTTGGGTAAACGTCACCACTATCTATTCCCGGAACTTTTTTATCATCCCGGAGACTCCACACCCATTACGCCATAACTCCCCACACCTCCAACTCCCCAGCCCCTGGTAACCACTTTCTGTGTCTGAATTTGCCTCTTCTAGGTGCCTCACATAAGTGGAATCAGACAATATTTGTCCCTTTGGGACCGGATTCTTTGATTTAGCATCATGTTTTCAAGGCTCATCCATGTTGTAGTGTGTATCACAATTTTGTTTCATTTTAGGGCAGAATGATATTGCATTGTTTGTATAGATCGTATTTTATTCTCCCATTCATCTGCTGATGGACACTTGAGTTGCTTTCACTTTCTGGCTATTGTGAGCAATGCGGCTGTGATCATGGTGCACAGTATATTGCCGAGTCCTTGCTCTCAGTTCTTTTTGGAGTATACCTAGGAGTAAAATTGCTAGAGCACATGGTAACTCAATGCTAAATCCTTTGAGGAACTGCCAAACTGTTTTCTATAGTGGCTGCACCATTTTTTTTAAAAAAATCCTCACCTAAGGATATTCTTCCATTTATCTTCAGAGTGGGAGGAGGATAGAGAGAGAGAGAGAGAGAGAAACATCGATTGGTTGCCTCCTGCACAACCCCCACCAGGGCTGGGGACTGAACTGCAACTGAGCTACATGCCCTTGACCGGAATCGAATCCAAGACTTCAGTCCGCGGGTTGATGCTCTAACCGCAGAACCAAACCGGCCAGGGCGTGGCTGCACCATTTTACATTCCCATTAGTAATGCACGAGAGTTCCAACTTCTCCACATCCTTCCCAACACTTGTTATTTTCTGTTTTATTGATAGTAGTCATTCTGATAGGTAAAGTGGTGTCTTTTTGTGGCTCTGATTTGCATTTCCCTGATGACTAATGATGCTGAGCATCTTTTCATGTGCTTATTGGCCATATGTGTGTCTTCTCTGGAGAAATGTCTATTTCGACTGCAGCCTCCTAGCCCCTGGTGCAGGGTTGAATTAGAGAGAGTGTTTTGCTGTCCATCTTCACCCTACCTGGGCCAGCAAGGCCAAGAGGCTGGGACCTGGGCGGCTGTCCTCAGAGATGGAGCTGGAAGGGCCGCTTGGTGCCCTGGGCTCTTCGGGATGAGCTAAGTTCACAGGGGGAGGTGAGGCTCTGCTGCCGGAGTCCTTGTACAAAGGTAGCATCTCCAGCGCTGGAACCTGCTTGGGGGTGAGGGTGGTGACAGGGGAGACGATCAGAGAGGAGGCAGGTTAGTGATAAGCGAGGTCAGTCATGGGCCACACAGCCGTAGGGGCTGGCAGGGACTGGTGTGCACATGGGTGGGTAGTGCATCGCCGAGAGAGGGCAAAGGCCAGGTCCCACGCTTCAGACCCTCTGCACTCCTATCTCCGTGTTTCCTGGAAACTGAGCCAATCCAATGGCACTGTTCTCACATCTCCCCCACAATCCACACCAGGGTGCCGATGCCCAGCACGGGGTGGGCTTGTGTGTAGTTGTGCCTGTGCATGATGCCCCAGAGCCGGAGGAAATGGAATGACTGGTGTTCCATGTTCCACTTGCACCTGATAGACAGTCCGTGTTTGTTTCTGAACCCAGGCTCTGAGTTCTTCCTTGTCACAGACCACTGGAAAGAACATCGGACTAGGAGTCAAGATATGTGAGACCTGGTCTTGGGTCCGCCTCTTATTAAGTGAGAAGACATGTAAAGGGTAAGGAGAGGCTCACACACTTGAGCAGGAAGACGCTTTCTCTCTTCCTTCTGGGGACCTGCCTCTGAGAACTGTCTCTGCTGAGTGTCCTGGTGGCTCCTGTACACATCTCCTGGTGCCTTAGAAGTTCAGTCAGTCTGCCTTAGAGATATCAGCAAGAACCTCTAAGTAGGCATTTGTAAAGACAATGCACAGATTAGCTAAGAAGTGAGCCCATTGTACTTTGTTTACTCAACAGTTAGCCTAATTATAATTGTACTTACATTAGCCACGCTGAGTATGAGGCTCCATTTCAGAGAGGGCTGTGCGTTAGCTGCTAACTCTGCTCCCCGGGGTGACGTTGACCTCCTTAGACACAAGCAACTTAAGTAGCATCCAGTCCCCTGTCGCTTGCCTTTCCTGATGCTGCGTATTCTGCTCAACCATTTCTGCTTCCTCTGCCCGCCCACGACCTGCGCAGCTCCAGACGCCGCTCTTGGGCGTTCTTGCTGCAGGGGATCAAGAGTTAGCCTTCCAATTACTGAGTTTTCATTACTGTGTTTCTGGGTTTCTAGCTATTTCTGGTCCTGTGTGCTCCTGCAGACACTGATGTCACAGGGAAAGAAGGGAAGTTTGCTCTTCTCCCATGTGAAGCAATAATGACTGTTACCAAAACGTGGTGTCAGCTCCGTGCTCACTAGGGCCCCAGAGCCAAGCCCAGCAGACCAGGTGCCGGCACTCACCATGGTCAGTACAGATTCCACTTCATCTTCAGGGTGACTCCCATTGCCCCAGGTTCTGGGTGGGCCAAGTGAACTGGGTGGGGCTGGACAGCTGATACTCCAGTATGTCCCCCTCCTCTTTTGGATACATAGACTGAGGGTGGTTGTTGAGCAGAGGGTTCTCTGGCATTAATCTAGCTTGGTCATTTTATTATTTTATTTCATAGTGCTTTATTTCATTTTCTATCGTTCCCTTTTATTTTATTTTATGGGCTTGGTTGATTTTGTATCCAAGCTCCTGCCTGGCTCTCTGCAGTTACTCTTGATCACAGCTGCAGTCCCAAGGAGGTCCCCTCTCCAGGGGTGTCTGGCAGAAAGAGAAACATATGTCAAGGGGCTGGGGAAGCTGACAGAAACCTTTTTTTAAAAAAAAAATCTGTTCAATGTTTTATTAGAGTTCATGTAGCAATGTATGTAAAGCAAGTCCCATGGTGGGAAAATGCAGAATAAATTACTGCCTGCAGTTTCCTGTGGGGGATTGATCCTGCAGATTGGAGAGTAGAGATGTGAGTGGCATGGTATTATTATGCCATCTGCAGTGTTGAAGCCCCACGAATGCTTCACGAATCCTATGATGTCAGAGCCATGAGCCTCAGAGACCAGCCAGTCGAACCCCACATAATATAAATGAGGCTAAGAGACACGGAAAGGCCAGAGGCCACGTGGTGAAAAAGGACGTAATTTGGGTGATGCTATTAGTTCAGCTTCAGCATCCTGAGGCACAGATTTTAATGAGCGTGGAAGATTGTTTTAAGGTATCCAAAGTCTGTTATTACTTACGGAGAGTCCCCGTCAGAGCAGCTGGCCTGCGTTCTCTCTCCCTGCTGGTTCCTAATGCGTGTTTGGGCCCAACCTGCAGGCTCTTTGGATTCTTTGATTCTTTTGGCAGCTGAAGGCAGCTTGAGCTGCTGAGAGCTGTTTTAGGAACAGAAAGTGCCCAGGGCCTGGACAAGCCAGTTACCCCAAGGAACCACAGTGTATGCCAGCTCTGACATTCCCAAAAGAATCTCTAAACTCCTCCATGGCCCTGCCAGTTCCAAATACCCCATGTTTCTCATGTCCGTGACCTTGTTCACGCTGGTTCTTCCTGCTTGGAATGCTCACCCCTACTGAGTCACCCATCCTTCAAGGCTCAGCCAAAGATGCTACTTTTTTCTTATTGTTCACACCTCCCCTAGCCAATCAGATTCTCCTCTTTCTTCTCGGTTACACTGATACTCCGTTTTTAAAATTTGCAATGCAGTAATCAGATGGCGGGGCAGATTTACCTGAAGTGACTTTTAGGAATGTCACCAAAGGATCAATCCCATAAAAGGTTAAAAAAAAGGAACCTGATTTCATTTATTTGATCTCTGCTGAATGCATCACTAACTTTTTATTGATTCTTAAGAAAGAGAGATGAGAGGACTCTGTGCTACCCCACTGGGTGCCAAATGAACAAGCAGTTGGAAGTTTATTATTTCCAGATATCCCATTGGGTTTCAATTCCATCCCAGAAACGCTCGCTGAGAAGCCCTGGGATTGACCATACAGGCTGGGTGTCTGGGAGGAAAGAGAGGCTGCAAATCTGGAATGGGAGGGTTGAGGGGCCTGGCTGAAGGTGTAAGTGGAGGCAATGGCAGTGTGGAGTGGCAGCTGGTTGGGGGGCACCTGGGCATGTTATTAGAGTTCATTTTTCTTGATCCCAGCCTTATCTCTTCTTTTTGTGGGGTCTTGGGCCAGTTTTTAACATCTTGGTGCTTGTTTCCTTATCCGAAAATGCGTATTCCAGGTAACTTGATTAGTTTTCGGACCTGGGACAAATATAATTGCCCTCAATGAGATTTTGCTTTTCCTTTATGTTTTGAAAATTGGTGCAGAAGTTTGAAATGCACAATCATATTTTCTTGCAGTAGTATAATAAGAGCAATGAGAGCTCTCTTCTATGGGCATTGGCTGTGTGCAGCCCTGTGCTGGGGAGGCCGATCACATGCGCTGCCTTCTTTATTCCTACTACAGCACTGCCATCTCCAGTGGACAGGCGAGGAAAGCGGAGTTCAGAGAGGTGAGGTGACTTGCCTAATGTCACATTGTTGGTGAGCTACTAGAAATTGAGCAAATAATTGGTAAAATAACATGTGTCATATCTAGTTCCTTTTTCTGCTCAGCACCTCCCCCCCTCTTCTCCTTTTGACAATAAATGTGGCCTAAAGTCCAAGGCAAAGTCAATCATAGTGCCCCGTGCAGCTGGCCTCAGAACTGGCCCAGGAGGGGCATATGGTGTGGCTGGGTGAGCCAGAGTCCTTCCCTGGACTTTTCCAAGCTGGAGCCTGAGAGAGAGCTCCCGTCTTTCCGGGATCATGGCTTTGGAAGGGTGAGAGGCTGTAGGTGTTTTCTCTCACAACCTAGGGGGAAAGA